ATTTGCTTGCTATTCCTTACCGATAACACTAAACGACAATTTTTTCCGCTGAACAATTTTATTTTTATTTATGCGATCCAACCCTCTCTCGGATATGAGATAAGAGAAGATTGGCCTCAGACGACGCTCGAATGTTATCAGACTCTGCTGCGGTAGGTCCTGAATTCAGATCCCTTAAAAAGGCCAGGGTAAATTCTAGGGGTAAAATTGCATTCCATCCCAGATGAGGACACTGTTTAGAATATTTTCTGAGTAGGAACATTTTGAAAAGGTGAGCTTTCTCTTCTTCAATTTAGACACTGCCTTGAAGTCAGCCAGTTTTTCTGTCAAGAGTAGGACAAATTTCCTGGATTTTTTTTCTACGCTTTTCACCATTGTTGTAGATTATTCTTTTACGACTTAAAAGACCCTGATTTGGTCCATCCATCCCTAAGCATGACTCTTCGGCGATCTATGATGGATCTATCTAGCTTTAGCTTTTATTGGTACCTCAATAATACCTCAAGTAAAAATAGCTGCTAACCCAGTTTATGGATATATTTTAATGAGATTTTGTATTTTATATAATTTACTCTTGCTTAATCTCCTCAGTTCCCAAGTGCAAGGAGGACTCGACGCGATATTGTATTATGCAAGAGCTGCGGCACAAGTCGAATACGGTTCGCACGGCTGTTTTGCAGGCGATATCTGAAGACGGCCTGACAATCTGCGATGAGGAATGCCTAGGCGGCTGTATTGGGGGCCGAGATAAATGTCGGGTAAATTTTGTGATGTAATCTTTATGTTTTTCTCATTGTACATTTGGCTCCACGTACAGCTGAATTATTTGGCCTCCAAGTTGAAGAATTTGGTATTTAATGGCTGAATGCTCAGACCAGGCTTGTTTTACCAGCTCAAATGCGCTATAAAATGTAACAGCAGGTTGATTATTCCTTATTTATTATATTAATTTGTTCTTCCTGCCTCTTTTTTTTATTTCTCCCTCCATCTTTAATTGTATCGCCATTATTTTGAGCCTTTCTCACTGATGTAGCATATCGTCTTTCCTTAGCCTCCTAATGACTAGTTTATTTAAAATATAAAAGTTTAGAAAAATACCTTATTAGTGATTAGCAATTACCTTAATTAAACACCTTGGTAGTTCAAAGTCACTATCAACTAAATAAGGACAAAGATAGCATCGTTTTTACAGGGAATGGTGCGTTGAAAGTTGATGAGGATGATTTAAATGGAGTGAATGGCAACACTAAGAATATTGTATTGTAATATTATTATGACGCATTTTCTGCCTCTACAAGTTATATATTTCATATCTATGCACAACATTGCATCCTTCATACTTAGGACAATAGAAATCATCTAGGCATGGAAAGTAGGCACACATAGTAATCATGTTATATATTGAAGTTTTTTGACCTTGTTTTCGCAATTTGGTCACATTGGTAGGAAGACTTAGAGGAACGCACCTTTTCCGGAGTCCATTGTATGGACAATCATTTCCAAAGTCT